CCCCCCCCCCCGGGCCTGGAACACCGGGGCTGCCCACAGTTCCGGCGGCCTGCCCGGCCTCTGCCTCCCCTTCTACCCGGCCTGCCAGAGCCCAGCTCTGCCCAGCTCATTTTGTCTGGCAGCAGAATCCCCAAGCCTTTTTGACTGGATCGATATTGTCGATCATTTCTTCACTGCTTGCGCTCAGATGAAAAAAAGTATCGGGTTGACTTGAGGGTTTTGTAGCACATGATTAATGTAGCCAGCGTTAGAAAGGGCAAATGAAAGTCATCCTAATGCCAACTATGGCTAAATTGCTGTGTTTTTTTTTGTGGTATGATTTGTGGTCACTGGTACTGTGCCGGGGCAAAGCCCAACATATACATGTTCATCGAAGAATGTGCATGTGTGTGAGCAAACCAGGGTATTGTCTTGGTGGAACCCAGCAAGACATGGTATTCCCTATCTCTCTAGACTCGAGCAGGCTCACCTACCACCTGGTGCCTTGATCCGGCCACGCTCCACCGGATCCGAGGAAGAGATGACGGAGGACCAGATCTTGGAGGACGGAGACCTGGATCACTAGGGATGGCATCCTGAGCCAGGTGATTGGTTTGTGTTTAATGTTTTTTTTTTTGGGGGGGGGGAACTGAATGGTTCATTTCATGCAAAACAGAGAGCTGATGATGTGTTCTTCCAATGTGATTGCAAATGGTTCCTTTCTGCCAGCATCCTTCAACGTTTCGTTGTTCTAGGGTTGTTGGGGCCCTAAACATTGGTGTCCCGGATCCAGAAAGTTCTCCAGGCCCCAGGAGGCTCTAGAGAGCCAGTTTGGGCGTGTCCCTAGTAGCGTTCTTGCTCCTAGTAGTTTCGCCAGGAGCCCCTAGTAGCGTCCTTGCTCCTAGTAGCGATGCCAGGAGCCCCTAATACTGCAGCTTCTTGTTCCTAGTACTAGAATAGTGAGACCACTCAAAGACATTCGATAAGATCAAAAGCCGACGAAATCCACGTCCTACCCGAATCGAAACGGATTCATCTTAATTGGAGCTGATTCGGGATATAATATAAAATAGAATCAATCTCGCCAACAGTTTTGGACCGTGATGTTCAAACAAACTGTAACCAGACATTCACCCTCACCACTCCTTTAGCCTCAGGTTAAACGGCCTAAGTTTGACGAATCATGTTAACCTCACAGAATCCTTACAGAATTGCCTAGCCTGAATTTGTTGGAACAAAATAACCACAACTCATCAAACTCACAAATCTGCAGGCCTTAGCCTCAGATATTCGGAAGCTGCAGCGGCCGGTGGGGCTCCCCAACAAGCATAAGCTTGATTTCGGTGGTGTGATGTGGTGTAAAGATGTTTTTTTTGTTTTCTTTTTTTACCAGTCGGAATACTATTGAAAAATCAGTGAGAATCAGGATGTATCAGGCTAGCAGCTATGGGCAGTATGCGACGATGTTGAGTGAGCAATGTGTGTGTGTGTTGCTTTGCCGGAATATGTGTTTTATGCAGAATCTGAGGTTTTGGTTTGCTTGGCGTGATTTCTTTTTTCTTGCGGGTGAATCCTTGAGGGATGTTGTGATTGTTTCTCAGTTTAAACAACATCCAATGATAGTATGGCCAGGAGCCCCTAGTAGCGTTCTTGCTCCTAGTAGTATGGCCAGGAGCCCCTAGTAGCGTTCTTGCTCCTGTCCAGGAGCCCCTAGTAGCGTCCTTGCTCCTAGTAGCGTCCTTGCTCCTAGCTACAAGGAACAAAGGGCATCGCTACTAGGAGCAAGGACGCTATTAGGGGCTCCTGGCCTTACTACTAGGAGCAAGAACGCTGCTAGGAACAAAGGGCAGGAGTTGTTTTTTTACTTGGAAACTGCAAGACTCGAATTGAGCCCCTCCAACGGGTGAAGTTTGTCAAGCACCATGCCTTGAACAGTGCGTTCGGGAGACCAAACGCTTCGTGTGTGGAAACCCCAAGCGACCGTTCAACGGTCCCAAAGGCAAACGACCGGCTCAGGTCCTGGTGAAGGGACACCGAGCTGCCCTAGGCGCCGGGGTGGGGACGTGCTTGGCGCCAAGGGTGTGGTATTGGTATTGGAGAATTCCATAGAAAGCAGCTGGTTTGCTGTTGGGGAGTCCAGTCGTTTGTGTGGTGCGTCTCCAATTCCTTAATCAAGGATTACATACTGTGCACGTGGGATTTCAAAGACACGTATACATTAACTGTTTACACTGGTTGACTTGCTGGATAGATCATGAAGTCATGTTGGAGCAGAATTCTTGATGCAAGACCGCTACAGAGGGCCTACAGAGGGCCGTAGAAATGGGATGGGTGTGAACTTCCCGTGTTTCTCCCGGGGGCCAATCGGCAGATATCTTGAAGAAACCTTTGCATTCAGCCACACTGGTACTGTCATTTGTTTCTTCTCTATGTAGCTTTGGAAGGCACCAGCAGCCGATACAAGAAGTCTATCATGCTTTATATCTCCAAGTGATTGAGCCATATTGAACTGTGCATCATTCAGGGAGTTTCAGGAATGTCATTCGATATGTCCCAAGCAGCCCCTCATCCTCATCCATAACTATAACATACTATATAACCTTGATGGGACTTTGGCAATATGTAAGCACTTGCATTTGGTTCAGCAACGTGTTTCTCAGCAAAAGAGTGGCATATATAAAAAATACCTTTGGCACTTGATTTTGAGCATGAAACGTGTGCTTCTATTCCTTTCTAGAGGCTTCTGTTGTTTGGCGCCGTCGACAGGTCGGCCCAAGGCGGAAGATGCCACGCGCCTGTTGCGACTGGACGAAGTGGGGTCACGGTGACCTAAAAATAGCAGGCACTGAAAAGGCAAATGATGCGAACAGTGTTTAATGTTGAGTCTTGAGTGTTTTTCCTACAGGTATATGTTAGGGATTTATGGGCACATAGAGATCAGCAAGCGCTCAAGTCGTGAAATCTCGTCTCACTAGCACCTTCCAAAAGGTCTCCCGGCTGGACTACCCTACACTACCGGTGGATCTCCATGGAACTCACACCCCGAAATGAAGGGAACCTGTGTACCAAGCTCTTGGAAATGGGACCCTGGCAAAAACCACTGGTACCTACAGCTTCCTAGACATGTGTTTGTTTGGAGAAAGTTTGACCAGGGTACCTCAACAATTGGATACCCAAAGGACGCCGGACTAAGTGTTTGACCCCATCAGACGGTATCAAACCTCACTTTTTTCACGGAGGGTGGGTGGCTGGACGTGCGGCTCAAAAGTCTCAAAACGTGATGAATGCAGCTTTGGGATGTGGTTCGAACGTTTCATGGCAGAGCAGATTTCAGGGATTCGCTTTCTTTTCCATTGGATATCCCTTTTTTCATCTTTTTTCCCACACGCTGTGGAGCAGAGGCCGAAGCCACACCTTGCTTCCAGCCACCCTTCCAACGCTCCACCGTTGAGGCTCATCGAGTGAAACCGGCCGAGCTCGGCCGAGCCTCGCGCTGCGCCGGGAAAGAGCGATGCAGCTGGACGGGAGCTCCAATTACTCCACGTCGGTGTCCCCAAACACTATACAGATAGCAAAGACTCCATGTATGTCATATATGCCTACATTGGGGTGGTTTGGGGGGGTCAATGTAGGCATATATGGCATACATGGAGTGTCTGGGGATAGCAACAACCCCCCCAAGACTATATTGCAAAGACGGTGAAGATCATCTCCCGGGGTTGGAGATCCAAGCGAGTTTTGGTAGGTGCCGTGTAGCGAAGTGTAGAGAGGCGCAAACTCGAAAGACGTGGCCTTTGTAAGGCTTATCTTGTTTCCTCGATGATTCCTTTGTTTCAGACTCACGTGCAGTAGCTACGTCACCGGAGAATTCACTGGGTCGTTGAGGTGCACTCAGTACCAGTAAAACGGTGTGTACCAAGACGGTGCCACTTGCTGGTGTTGTACCACGTTGTATCCGACTTCTTTGGCCAGTTGACTGTGGTACCAGACCTGTGAACTATTGACCAGGTCTTACTGTTGACTGAACGCTACGAGGAACCTTTCGTCAGCAAACAGAGGTGCAATCCCAATCCCTGCGGAAGGACCATGGACTCGTGTGACGTGTGGGTCCAAACACCGGACACGTGGCGCGGCGAGTCGGGGTCATGCATGAGGATAGACTCAGTCGGTGAAGCAACCTAAAGGAATCAGCCTCCGGTATACAACATATTTAATCATCTATACAGTCTATACAGTATATCTACACCAAATACTCCCATGAACCAGGATGAATCAAGCAGAAAGATATTCAAAAACGAACCCCGAGGCCGGCTCCCACACGACCCACCGACCCGCTCTCACCACCTGGCCTTCCACTGTCCAAGGTGGAAATCCCGTGGGGGCCGTCAGTGGCGAGACTTCTCGTGGGAAGCCGTGAGGAAGTCCTGAACAAGGGGGTGGAGGACGCTACTAGGGGCGAAGGGCATCGCTACTAGGAGCAAGGAGGCCTTACTACTATGAACAAGGACGCTACTAGTAAGTATAAGGCCAGGAGCCCCAATCGTAGCGTCCTTGTTCCTAGTAGTGATGCCCAAAATGCTCCGAACGTAGCATCAAAACAGGATCCCGGGTGGACCACTGAACATGACTAGACTAGAGCAACCAGATATTTGGTCGACCCAAAATTCGTGGTCCGGGTGCCATGACCCACATTTGGTATTCGGGACTGGCACATGTTCCCGACATGTTGGGTGGGGCCATCCATGTTGGCATACGGCAGACCAGACATAGAGTGTGGATGTTTTGAGACTTGGGCTGCGGCTGAGTTTTCTCCGAAACTCGATTCCGCTCGGTTCGGGAGCCTAAAGGTCTTTGGGTTCGAGCCCCTAGTAGCGTTCTTGCTCCTAGGAAGTGCTTGGACCCTCAAGGAAGTTTGTTCTTGTTCATCCTTTGGCTGCGCTGACAGCCTTTTCCTCCCGTCCCGTCTCAGGGCTTCGCCGGAACCACCCGCGGTGCAGGCGCCCGTGGAGGCACTTTTGGGACGAAGGTGTTTGCTTCCTGCTCAGATGAACCAGTCCACCCTCAAAACTTCTTCTACGTATCATTTTCCACTAAAGGAATCCCTTTTGGGCATCAGTGTGTGCAGCTTTATCAAACTGCACTCAGCTCACTGGGGCGATCAATTCTTGTCAATATTGAAGACAGGCCAGCAAAGAATCGAAGACCCACACAGCACAGCCTCAGCACTATACGCAGGATTTGGCTGTGTATTTCGATCCAGGACGGCGACAGTATCTTAAGTCCCAGTTTACAGAGCTAAATGACCCACTTCAGTCGTGGGAATGATTTCTGAGATACTGAGAACCCCACCAATCTTTGGAAACTGTTTTGGACTTCCTGGAGCAGCACCTGCTCAGGCCGGCTGGGAGCCTTTCACACAAGCGGAGAAAGCGCCCTGCCAAAAACACTGGCTGGACTGGTGGACGGTCTAGGTGGTTCATGTGTTGTTGCTTGAGGCTTGCCCATTTGTTTCCAACTGACTTTAAACGCGGCACCTGTTTAATGGGCAAATGCAAGCTAGACCATCTTCGAAACTTTACTTGGTTTCCTGCGCTTGTGGCTTGTCGTCCTTGTGCACACCTGTGGATTCCATCCAGGTTGAAATTGGAGAAGGATCGAAGAAGAAGAAGACGAAGGAGACGAAGGAGAAGAAGAAGAGGAGGAGGAAGAAGAAGAAGAACTCCCATCCTTGGAGCTAGCTATTGCCATCTCTCAGCTTCTTCAGTTCGTGACCTTTGGGAAGTCCCAGACAGTGCAGAATAAACATGCAGAATAAACAAACCAAGTTGGGCTGCTTTGAGGCCTTGACTGCAGTACAGTATCTTTTCTATCCGTTAATGTTGGGCAACCTACAGGGTGACCCAGCGGATGATACACCATAGTTGTGAAGGGTGTTTCTCCTGTGGCCATATTGCAGCAATTCGTGGTATACTGATATCTCATGATCTCTCCGACATGTTGGGGAACACTTGCCTTAGAGATGTTTGCTATACAAGTTTAGCTGCGGCAACCGGACTTTTGTATATTTAGTCGTCTAACATTTATTTGCCCAAAGAAACTGTCCAGCGACCATGGCCCTTTGCTGCTCTAGATTGGGGTGATTGATTTAGCTCTCAGGGATATATAGTTTTGCAAGAATTGTCATTAGGACGATTGTGTGGTACGACATGGTCCTTTTGGCAGACTCGCTAGGTTTGCAATGCGTACACCTGGCGACGACGGCGCTTGGGCATGCTCCAGGCAGGGGTTGGATCCTCATTCAAGAGACACCAGATAAACATAGATAAATAGACCGGATTTTGCTCAGCTGGCAGCCATCACATTTGTTTGTTGATCACCCTTTTCACCTGCATCAGAAAAGGTTTCAAAGACATTTAAAGCCTCCAGGATGTCACGTTTCACGTGGGACGAAGATCCAGTCAAAGGCATGGCGTGAAAGAGTCTTATAGCTGTCATTTCATGTGCCTTGGTGCAGCTGGGCACCCAGCGAGTCCTTGAGAACCCCTCCGGAATGCCAGGCCTTTGGAGGGGATTGGTGATCGAATTGCGACATTGGTCACAGATGTGATTTGGGAGGTCCTTCACCACTCCAGACACCAGTCCAGCTTGAGCTTGAGCAGTCACATCGTGACGGACGCACGTGGCCGACGGTGTCCCGAGTCCCGGAGTCCGCCTGAGTCCCTCCGATTGACACCGGAGACACCGGGGGTGTTGTGCCTCCACGCACCGGTGCGGCCAGTCTGCCACCAGCAGCACGGAGGCTCACCGTGTGGCTAGGGTTTGGGGGTGTTGATGGAGTCACATGATTGGTCCATTTGGGAACTTGTATGCAAGCCACCATGGTGTTGTGGAAGTAAAGTTGTATGATCCAATAGAACCATGCGCACTGCATGTGAAGAGCTTCATCGCCACCGGGACGTAGTTCGAGTCTTGACCTCTACACCACTCAATGGGATTTGATGGGTTCAATTCCATCCATGAACTCACCCTGGTTGTTCATGCAGCTGGTCACAGCCGCTTCAGGCATCATGAACGAGTCGTAAGTAAGTATATATATATAGAGTATAGAGGTTTGTATTAATTATTAACATAAGGAGACCTCCCAGAGACCCCCCTGAAAGGAGGAAAGTAGAAAACAACCGTTGGTCTCATTGGGTTAGAAGTACACGCCCAAGTAGAGGTTGGTCATTGGGTTAGAAGACCACCTACCAGCTTACTCAGCTTCTCCAAGCGGACAAACAGAGAACACATGCTTTGCTGATTGTCATTACAGTCTTCGCATTGATGTATTTAAGGTCTTCCGACTTCTGTTTCAAATTGGAAGGTGCACTGACCCTCGATGGCCCATTGGATGTTCTTGCCAGTATCGAGCAGCTCTTGGTGTCATATTCTCGAACGCACTGATTTCGCAGAAAGGGCAAGGGTCTGTTTGTTTGTTTCCGTTTACTGATGGTCCAAACTCCCATTAACCTCTATGGCTGTGCAGAGAATCCAAGACCAGTAACATTGTGCAGGTATCCGAAGCGTCTTTGTAATTGCTTGTTTATCCGCAGGTCGCAGGAGAGATCAATTCCAGGTCGCAGTACATGGACAGTCTCGGCGGAGGTTTCCCTCGTCCGGGTGGGTGCTTACACCTCTCGGCTCAACGACCGGTGTATCCGGGCGATGGCCTAGCTCGAAAGCAGAGCAAAAGAACTTGCACTCTTGACAAGTGTCCCTTTTTTTAAATGTTGAGCTTCCCAGTTCAAGCTGGTCCAAGCCCCTGTTGAAGAAAAGCAACTCTGAGGCCGAGACTATACTATTGCAAGTCTTTCGGGAAGGAACCCGACTGTACGTCAGAAGACACTTACGCCACTTGTTATCCCTAATTGCTTTTCCCGTTGCCATGAATCGCAAGTAAGTTGGACACTGGCACCTTGTCCAACGGAATGGAAGCGGGGTCAAAAGGATCTTAAATCAGGTCAACAGATTTTGGCATATGTTGGCATTAGAAGGTGGGTAGTTTGTTTGCTGTGCTGGGGGATAGGTTTGGTCATGGATACCCATAACTTTTTGAGATTCATTTAGAGTTCATTGACTGTTTGCCTAAACCATAATATATATATAACTATATAGTATATTATAGTATTATACTATATAGTACATATATAACACAATATAGTATTAATACTATATATTACATATTCTGGGTTTTGACATGCACACATGAATGTGTTTTGTGCTCTGACCGGCATTCTTTGAGCTACTTGCTGCAGCTCTTGTAGCTCCAGAATGAGTTTTTGTTGAAATGGAAGAACACCCATGAACAACAGTGGCAAAAGGTAAAATCCAAGAAATACACTTTGACTTTGGATTTGTTGCTTGAAACAGTATCTGTACGTCGTACCGTCGTACGACACTGATATGGCTCAACATTGGATGCTTGGAGTCGGCCGTTCGACCGTCAGGTCTCGCTTGACCGTCCGGGTGTGCGTTCCGCTGAACCTCTCGACAAGGGTACTGAGCTCGCTGAGGCGAAGGTTATGATGGGCGGGGCACCAGCAAAGGACGTCGAACGCCTGGATGCCCAGCGGTGCTTGTCGTGGGTGCCGACACATGGGTGCGACACATCAGCAGGACACATAGCATTAGCATCATTAGCATCCCATCAGTGCGGTGCAGTAGTCACGATCTCCCATGCATGTATTTGTTGATAGAATTATATAGAATATTATAGAATGTATGTTTACAAGACAATCGCTCATAGTCATAGTCTCAATTGGCGTTCTGCTCATGTTTCAGACCACATGCATGACATCTTGATTTATAGGTTTCTCTGCCGATCGACGAGACACCGTTTTTCTTTCCAACAGATAACAGAACGCCCAAGATCAAATCCGATATCCTCAGAATAATAAATGAATATCAAGGGATGATGGCTGTTCATTTGAAGGTTTTATCCTCAGAAGGGAAGACATCAGAATTCTACGAATCATTTGCTGTTCATCGGCACGAGCACAGTTTGCTGCGTTGGACGGGAATTCGAAGGGATGGTGGCTGCTGAAAGAAGGGGCCTTTGCGACCCCTGAGTGTATGTAGCTCAACGACCGGGAGACCGAAACCCTGCAATGACCCCCTGGGTTCGGTTCGGACCAATCGACCAGTGTACCCTTTTGGTGGGTAGCGATGCAAATAGACCCTCTTAGCCGGGTGGAACGGACGCCGGACCTGGTAAATCCCTCGGAGTTGTTCCACCGAGAAAGGTGTCCCCCAGGGGCCGAGGTTGAAACAGCGACCCAGCCCAGGAGATCGAGAGGATCTGAAGTCGCCTCCACTGTCTCCTGGTTTTGACGGATCGGATCATATTGTTTTTTTTTGAGTGTCCCATAGTGTCCCTATGGCATATAGGATGAAATTATCCTTTTGAATCTTTTTGGGACAGATGTTTGTTGTTTTTTTTGGACAGCAACTCCAAGGTCTGCTCGAGACTTGTCACGAGAGCTTTCACTGAAGCCATCCGCCGAGACCAAGACCAAGACGGCGGCGACCACGGATGCACGAACGGACTTTTGGATGCAGGAAGGAAGTGGCTATGCTAAGTTGACTCACCCTTGTGTGGGCCACGCAGGGGTAAAATTTGGAGAAGGAAGTGGCCATGCCAAGTTGACTCACCCTTTTGTGGGCCATGCAAGGTATAATTTAGAGAAGGATGTTGCCCCTTATCAGGGTCGTCAACACCGACACCTCTCAAACATAATTGAAACTTCAGGGCAGCAACGCTCATTGTTGCTACATCTGTTCTGTATGTGATATTTTTTAATATTGCTTGGTTAGGTTCAGGTTGTTCACGTGAGTTACGCGAGGCTTCGCGTTCTGCTCTTGCTGGCAGCATTTCTACTTCATCTTCGGTTTCTTCTTCTTAGTCCACCAAATATCATGTCAATAACTGGTGTAGCGCTTCTACTTAATAAACCACGGTGTGCTTGTCTTGTTTGTTGCTGTCTGTCTGTAGATTGTTTAGGTTGCAAATCACACAGGCCTTCAAGGAATCAAAGATTGTGTCTTGCGCCTGGGTACAACCCGGTTAGTGTAGTCTCAAATGTGACGGCAGCCTTTTCAGGCTCAAATGTGATAGGCAGCCTTTTAAGGTTCAATGCTGTGTATGAGTTTTAGTTGGCGTCCAGAAGGAGAGGTTGACCTAAATAGAGTGACTCAAGTGATCACTGGACTAGCTAACTGCTGGCCCTTCGGCACATGACAAAACAATGTAGCCTTTGAATGTTGTCTGTTCATTGTTTGAGAAGCCTTTCATTTTTGTATCTTCAGATTTCCTTTTATGACCGCCCATGTCGGACAATGTGCGTTTACAAGCGTGGCAGCTTCAGAACTTGCTGCAAGCTTTTGTTCAGAATGCTACATCGCATCCTTTGGCACACATTGAGCGATCCATACAGAAATCACGGGAGCTGATTGAAGTTTTGCGGCATGATTTGAACTTGGATGCCTTCAAGCGTCGTAAGTTGAGAAGTTCGCTGACTGTGCGACAATTTCAGTCTCGTTGCGCAAAGCTGCGGCACAAGTGCAAGAAGCTGCAAGCTGAAGTAGATTTGATCAAAGGTGAAAAGCTAGCTGGGCGAGTGCAGCATGTATGGTGTATTAGGGCTGGACTGGCTCCACCCAATATCCCCCCCACAGTCCCTCAGTGAGTTGTGCAAAGACTTTGGGGTTGAGGAAGCTGAGGTTCTGTCCAGAACGTACATCACCCAAGTGAGGGATGCCTTCACAGAGATAATCAAGAGAGGTAATGTTGCAGAGTTGACCTTTGAGGCTTCAACAATTTGGCAGAGTCAATCAGGAAAAGCGCCGGCCATCATTGTTTCTCATCTGCATGATGAAGCCTCCCTGAAGCCTCACAGGTTACACCGAGATCTCTTATGATGATTTCAAAGAAGAGCATTCGGATTCCCTGCAGAAGTTGGCCGCCTCTATCCCACCGAAGGTGGCTCTAGGGAAGTTTTTGTTTCGAAATAGCTGGACAAGTTTAAAGGTTCTCTTTTGGCATCAGTCACGCTGTCCTAATCACGGGTGATATAGGGCCACGTTGAATCGGTTGGGCGCAGGACTTGGACCGAGAGATCCCTTCCTTGCAGTTCTTGTCGAAGTACAAGCCGGCGTCTGACAACTCCACGCCGCCCAGTGCAAAAGACGCCTTGGCAAAGAAAGAGGATAAGGAGACAGCCCCTGCAGCTCCGACCAAGCTGCCGACAGGAGTTCACTCTCCTTCTCCGACGGTGGCCATAGTGATTGGGGATAAGGCCCTTTCTGGGAACAACCGAAACATGCAGAGGTTTCGTTTCCAAACTTGTTGAGTCCAGTTATTGCCTAAAAAGATCACGTTCTCTTTCGAAAGATTTTTCCCAATCTCCTGGAGAGGTCCGCACAAAGGCCACGAAGCAAAAGGATTTCTACAATGACAAGTTGGGGTTGTCAATGTGCTCGCCAATGACAACTTCAAAGTGCTCTTGGAAGAGGGCGAGAAGAAAGGTGAAAAGCGAAAGTATGAAGGCCGCTTTCTCACCAAAGTTGATCCGGAGCCAGCTGCTGAGCAGCCTGAAGGCAGTGAGCTTGACGCAAAGCGTCAAAAAGCTCTCGATCTGTTGGGAGATGCAGATGACATCTAGTGGCCATTTTCCCCACCGGCCCACAGACAGGTACAACCAGCTTTTCCAGCCAAAAAGAGTGGTCGCGTCAGGAAGGGGTCCATGAGCACGCTAATAGGCA